GAGAGAGAGAGGGAGAAAGAAAAAAAAAACTTCCTACCAATGGACAACAGGAAGTGACCACCACCACCAACGGGGAGTCTCTGCTTGGAGAAAGAAGCTGCAAGACAAAGAAGAAGGAAAGAGAGGTGAAAGACCAAACTGCCCAAGGTCTTCGGTGCATGCGAGCGTGCGTTTTCGAGAGGAGAGAACAAAAGTCAGCCGGGAAGGGGAGAAAGGAAAAGAGCGACAGAAAAGGAGACAGGACGGAGGAAGAGCTAAAGACGAGCATGTGAAGATCAAGGGGAAAGCGAAGAGCAGAGCAACACACACACGCACACCGAGAAGAAGAAGAGGAAAAAAAAATCCCACGAAAGTTTCTTTTCTTCCTGGAAAGAAATTACTCACAAGCACACAAACATCAGATGCCTTGTAGATCAACCGGGGAAAGAGAGACCAAGGGAGAAGAGGAGGCAGAGTGATGTGAAGGGGAAAAAAAAGGCAAGCCAGAAAGAAAGCAAAGAGAGCAGAAGAAAGCAGAGCAAAAAGAAACTGAGTGGGGGGAGAGAAAGAAAGAAGGAAAGGCGAAGATCGTGACCTCCCCCAACAAGTGAACCTTGCACATATGTTGTATAAAGTGTGTGCAAAACAGAGCCCTCCTGCGTGCTGTGTGTGTGTGTGTTTTGCTGCTGCTGCCGCTGCCGCCGCCGCCGCCGCTGCTGCTGCGGTCGGTGCCTCTTGCAGGAGGCGCTGCTGGTGCCGGGGAGACGCATCATTTGGCGGAGTGAAGCGGCTAATTGCTGCGCCCCATCCTTCATTTACATATGCAGCCTGAGTCCGCTGGAGCCGGGCCAATCCGCGCTCGCCCCCAGCACCATTAATCGCCTTTCATTATTCACAATCATAATTACAGAGCCCCATGCGCGGTGCGCGCAGCCGCCCCAGCCCGCAGCGCACACACCACAGCACCGCGCACACCCCGCCCGGCTAATCCCCCACGCACGCACGCACGCACTCACTCACTCACTCTCTCTCAGTTTGGTTGGTTGTTAAGGGTTGCTTTTTTTTTTGGTTGGTTGCCTTTTCTGTTGTTGTTTGGTTTGTTTTGCAACTCGACTTTTATTTGCGAACAGTTATTTTCAGTCCCCCCTCCCACTCCGCTCCCATTCCTCCCCCCCTTTCCACCTCCACGTCGCTGATGCCTCTGCAAAAAGCAGAGCCAAGACGCCTCAGTTAGCAGCATGTCTCGTCGAAAGCAAGCGAAACCCCAGCATCTCAAATCGGACGAAGAGCTGCAAGCGGAGGTAGTTTCTGAGCACGGTAAGGGCTCCCAGCGTCTCTTTCTCCCTCTCTCTCTTCTTTTGTGAGTGTGTTTCTGATGGAGATAGGTGGATTTATGATGATGGTGAACAGGGGAGCGCAATTACTCTGCAGCGGGAGAATGGGAATTAGACCAGCTGGGGGAAGAGGCAGCGGAACTGAGAAGTTAGCAGTTTAGCCAAGTTTCTGCAGCCCACCCCCTAACTAACCATCCCTCCCAGCAACTCCCTCCTGGCCTGCTCA